GGCTGGAGTGCAGTGGCATGATCTCAGCTCACTGCAACCTCCACCTCCTGGGTTCAAGCGATTCTCCTGCCTCAGCCTCTTGAGCAGCTGGGATTACAGCCGTCTGCCATCACACACAGCTAATTTTTGTATTTTTAGTAGAGATGGGGTTTCACTGTACCGGTCAGGGTGGTCTCGAACTCCTGATCTTGTAATCTGCCCACCTCAGCCACCCACAGTGCTGGGATTACAAGCATGAACACCGCGCCTGGCCAAGCCCTTAATTTTATAATGGTCTCCAAGGTCCTATATTGTCTCACGCAAGGCTACCTATTCTGATGTCCCCTCCTTTCACATCCTCCTGCTCACTCTGCTCTCACTGCACCGGCCTCCTCATTCTTCCCTGTGTGGGCCAAGCATGACTTTGCCTCAAGGTCTTGCCATTTGTTTTTACCATATCTGGTATGTTTCTTCCCTGTCTGTTTATGTGGCTCATTCCCTCATTTCCTTCATGTCTCTGTACAAATATATTTTATAACCATGCTATATAAAATTGTAATACCCATCTTTTCACTTCTCATCTGGCAATCCTTTATTCCCTTATGCTGTTTTGTTTTTTTCCACAGCTTCTGTCATTATTCAACATATTACATATTTACTTGTATGCTTACCCTGCCAGATTGTAAGTCTCATGAGGGCAGAGGCTTACTCTATTTTTGTTCAGAGCTTTATCTCCAGAGCTTAGAATACTACGTGGATCACAGAGGGTCTGCAACAAATATTTGTTAAATGAATGGATGATGAATATTGCTGGTTTGTGGCAATTATGAAGAACCAGATTTCCAAATATGGCTTTTGCCGAAACAGACCTGATAACTAGAATGGTAAGCAGGACAATGACTTTAGTGTTTTGCTTGGTTCTGATTGAAGATGCAGGGCTGTCATAGAAGTGTAAACATTTCTTGTAGAGGTTAATTTTTACCTACAGAGCATATACGTCTTGTCTGGGAACTGGTTCTGGTGGTCATTTTGCCATCAAATTTACCTTGTTAAACAAATTTAAAAAGTGTTTTTTCTTTGTATAAATAAATTAAAGTAACAATTTTAAAAAAATGATATGTCTGGGCTTTTTGTTTGTTTTCATTTATTTGTTTTAGAATGACAGGGGGAAATGTGAAGGAGGAAAAAGAACAATGTTAAAAAGCCTGGAGATGACCACATATAAAAGGACCATGTGTGCAAAGGATTGCTGGAAAATGAATCAGGTAGTAACCAGGAAATATGGTGTTGAGTTGGATTAACATTTCTTAGGAGAGTCTCCCAGACACCCCTTATATAGACTCTTCTGGGAAGAGTCCCCTTTTTACTCCAGCCATTGCCGCAGTCACCAGCTACATGCAAGTATAACTTGACAATACCTCACTTTAGATTCACTGTTTATTTTTCACTTTCTGCCACAGGGCTTCTCTGCCTTCACTAAGTGGGATACCTGTAGATATGCACATGGACATTCTGGAGCACATACAAACCTGCAGATGTGAGGGCAATCCTTTGTTAGTGGAGTCTGGGAAGTGGTAGATAAATATTTATCTCTTTCAACTTTTGGGTGAATAATTCTGAGATGTATTTTTTCAGGAGAAAAGAGGAGTCAAGCCTCAGTTGCCCATAGTGATGAGAAGCTAGATTGGGTTGAATTTCTCTCTTCCTTTTTTTTTAAATTTTTTTATTCTTCCCAGCCTCTCTGTGAAGCTCCCTGGGATTACACCCCAAAATAAAGTAGCTGTACACTGACTTTGTCATAGGTTCTGCTTTTGTGGGGAGCCTAGGCTAAGACAAGAATCAAACAAAATATTTTTTGAAAACTTTTGTGTTAATAGCAATTTTCTGTAAATACACTTACCCTGAGATGCTCTCTCCTTGCTGAAAGACCTCCATTAGTTCTTCATGGGCTGAGTAATGAAGACACATATCTTTAAAGCAAGATAATTTACACTCTCACCCTACCTACCTCTTGAACAACTATAAACCAGTACTTGAATTGCTCCCAAATATACCATTCACATTTTTGCCCCGTGTGTGTGTGTGTGTGTGTGTGTGTGTGTGTGTGTGTGTGCTCCCAAGGATTAACTCACATATCCTCCTAGAAGCCTTCCTCAACCATTTAGCATACAACACTCCTTCCTCCTATGCACCCTTGCTACACTTTTTGTATGGATTGCTTATTTGGTACTTATGCCATGTTGCCTCAAATTATTATTTATCTCTTTATTTATATATTCCGACTAAACTTCATTATAATCATCTGTGGGAATAGATTGTATCTCATAATTCAGTATCTCCAGCAGTACTTCGCACAATGCCCTGAACAATAAATGCTACCAGCGCTGAGACTGACATTGTGGTGACATGATCTAAAGCAGTGTTTATCAAAATGTATTCATGGGGTATTAATAGGCATTATAAGAATAAAAGTGTTTTATGTTCAGTTAACTTGGGAAACCCTTGAAGACTTCTCTGAATCTTTAAATTAACCCTTTGTTGCAAATCTCTAAGAGAAAATGTATAGTTTTTCCAAATTTACTAAGCCATGGAAATTTTTTTCATGAAGCATTTCCATAGGCTAGTCTCCTGAAAGATATGTTTTAACTACTTCTAAATATGGATCCTTTATACTACATAGAAATTCCTGGGATCTATGGCAGAATGAGGGTATAGCAAGTAGATGTAGCTCATAGAAAGAAATAATATATGGCATGAGAGAGGCTTATAATATACATGAAGAGAGAAAGTATTCACATCCCAAAAATCACTAATATCTGTTCCAATACCTCAAATATATTTTTGGCATGTACTTATATAATTACATATTTGTCTTTAAAAATGTTTAATGTAATAAATTATACTAATAGATTTCTTAAAATTGGGAAATCTCGCTTTCTGTTATAAACTTTGCTTAGTTATAGAATATAACTACTTTAACACATTGCTAGATTTAATTTGTTAATATCTGGATTCAGATTTTAATTGTAAATATTCTAGTTTTCTTATTGGAATATGTTTGTCAAGTTTTGGCATTAATAGTGTGATAGAACTGTAAATTGAGTTGAGAAGACTTCTATTGTTGTTCCTTGAATTCAGAGACAACTCACTGGCAAACATCCTGAATCTGGTACCATTTTTAATTGTAGAGCTTTAGTGTGTAGACACACACACACACACACACACACACACACACAAATTCTGTAGATACTGGGTTGTTTAGGTGTTCTACTTATCATTGAGTCAGTTTGGGGAATTTATATTTTGATAGAACATTGTTTGTTTCCTATAGATTTTAAAGTTTGTTGTCATAAGAAAAGTGGTAGCAGGGAGGGCCAAGATGGCTGACTAGAAGCACTTGCGATCAGAGGCTACCATTGAGAAGAATGAAAATGGCCAGCAAATCCTGTACCAGCAACAGAGGTGTCCAGGTTTTCTCACTGGACTAGGCAGTTGGCATGACTCATGGAGAGTGAGGAAAAGCAGGGTGGAGCAATGGCCCACCTGGGAGGACAGGGCAAGGGGAGCTCCCATCCCCACCCAAGGGAGGTGGTGAGTGATTATGCTATCCTGCCCAGGAAACCACACTTTTCCTATAGATCTGTGCAACCCACAGATCAGGAGATGCCCCTCATGAGTTAATGTCACCAGGGCCTTGAGTCCCAAGCACAGAGCTATGCAGATTCTTGGTGGCCACTTGGCTGGAAACTGCCTAAGACTACTGAGTTTCCAGCGGGAGGGGTGACCACCATCACCGCGGTTTCCTGCTGCCTAAGATGACTGAGCTCCTGAGGGGCAGGAGATATTGCTGCAGCTCCAGTCTGCCATTTTTTCACTGCCAGTGCTGGGGAGACTGGGTAATTTCGACCCAGGAGGAATTCCCCATGGCACAGCACAGATCTGTGGCAGATTGTGGACAAACTGCCTCTGTAGGCTGGACCCTGACCCATCCCTCCTCACTGGAAAGGGCCTCCCTGTGGAAATTTCAGGAACTCCAGCCAGAGCTCTGATCTCCTTGTCTCCTTGGTACTGAGCCCCAGGTGGGAGGGGTGGCTATAGTCTCTGCAGATCATCAAACTTTGTCTTTGCTGATCTGAGGAATCAGCAAAGACTGATTCCTAGAGGATCCCAGAGGAATCAAGCCTCAGTTGCCCATAGTGGTGAGAAGCTAGATTGGGTTGTGGGCTCTGAGGAATCCAGGCAGTCCTGATGAGTGGGATTCCCCACAGTGCAGTGCACTCTCTCTGCCAAGGGGCAGCCAGAGTGCTTTGTTAAGGGGGTTCCCGATCCTGTGTCTCCTGACTGGATGAGCCCCTGCAACAGGGGTTGCTATGCACCTTATACAGGAGTGTTTCTGTGGAATTGGGTCAGTGCCTCTCTGGGACACAGCTCCCAGAGGAAGGAGCAGGCAGCCATCTTTGCTGTTCTGTATCCTTCAGTGGTGACACCTCCAGGTATGGGAGGGACCCAGGCAAATAGGATCTGAAGTGGACCCCCAGCAAGCCTCAGCAGCCCTAAAGAAGGGCCTGACTGTTAAAAGAACAACAAACAGAAAGCAACAATAACAACAGTGTCAACAAAAAAGTCCCTCCAAAACCCCATCCAAAGGTCAGCAGCCTCAAAGATTGAAGCTAGATAAACTCATGAAGGTGAGAAATAATCAACCAAAACTTCTGAAAACTCAGAAACAAAAGAGTGCCTCTTCTCCTCCAAATGATTGCAACACCTCTCCAACAAGGGCATAGACCTGGGTGGAGGCTGAGATGAATGAATTGACAGAAGTAGGCTTCAGAAGGTAATAACAAACTGGTGAGCTAGAGGCAGTTGTTCTAACCCAATGCACAGAAGCTAAGAACCATGATAAAACATTACAGAAGATGTTAACTTGAATAACCAGTTTAGAGAGGAACATAAATGACCTGATGGAGCTGAAAAGCACAACTCAGGAATTTCACCACAAGTATCAATAGCTGAATACATTTTAGAGATTGAAGACTGTCTTCCTGAAATAAGGCAGGCAGACAAGATTAGAGAAAAAAGAATGTAAAGGAGTTAACAAAACCTTTGAAAACTTTGGAATTAGGTAAAAAGACTTGAACCTGTGACTGATTGGAGTATCTGAAATAGACAGGGAGAATGGAACCAAGTTGTAAAATATACCTTAGGATATCATACAGGAGAACTTTCCCAACCTAAAAAGACAGGTCAACATTCAAATTCAGGCAATTCAGAGAACTCCAGTAAGATACTCCATTAGAAGATCAAGCTGAAGACACATAATTATCAGATTCTCCAAGCTTGAAATGAAGGAAAAAGTGTTAAGTGCAGCCAGAGAGAAAGGCCATGTCACTTACAAAGGGAAGCCCATCAGGCTAACAGTTGACCTCTCAGCAGAAACCCTACAAAGCAGAAGAGATTGGGGGTCAATATTCAATGTTCTTAAAGAAAAGAATTTCCAGCCTAGAATTTCATATCCAGCCAAACTAAGCTTCATAAGCAAAGGAGAAATTAAATCCTTTTCAGACAAGCAAATGTTGAGGGAATTCTTCACCACTAGGCCTGCCTTGCAAGAGCTTCTGAAGGAAGCACTAAATTTGGAAAGAAAAAATCATTACCAGCCTACACTACAAAAATCATTACCAGTCTACCACTACAAAAACACATGAAAGTACAAAGACTAATGATACTCATGAAGCAACTACATCAACAAGTGTGCAAAATAACCAGCTAGCATCATGATGACAGGATCAAATTTACACAGAACAATATTAACCTTAAATGTAAATGGGCTAAATGCCCTAATTAAAAGACACAGAACAGCAAGCTGGATAGAGTCAAGACCTATCAGTGTGCTGTATTCAAGAGACCCATCTCATGTGTGAAGACACACATATGCTCAAAATAAGGGATGCAGGAAAATTTACCAACAAAATGGAAAGCAGAAAAAAGCAGAGGTTGCAATCCAATTTTTGGAAAGATAGACTTTAAACCAACAAAGATCAAAAAAGACAAAGAAGGACATTACATAATGGTAAAGGGCTCAGTTCAACAAGACGAGCTAACTTAAATATATATCTACCCAATACAGGAGCACCCAGATTTATAAAACAAGTTCTTAGAGACCTACAAAGAGGCTTAGACTCCCACACAATAATAGTGGGAGACTTTAACACTCACTGTCAATATTATATCATCAAGGCAGAAAATTAACAAGGATATTCAGGAC